CCAGGGCCAGCCTCTTCTCCATCCTGGCCGCCTACCTGCCCTATCGCCCGCCGGCCCGCGGCATGTGAGCGCTGGTCCCGCCCGTGGTTCACCGTCCAGGGTCCCAAGGAGCTGCCAGCGTAGAAGTCCATGGGATAGGGCTGCTGCCAGGAAATGTCCCTCAGAGCCACAGCCGCCTGGGGAGCCAGACAACAGGATAGGATATGCCAACATTTTCCTGGGCCTGGATGACTGGATTCAGTCCTCACAACGGCCTATGAGAGGTACATCACCTCCATATCTCCATACCACAGAAAGGCAAAGTGAGGCTCAGAGAGGCTAAGGGGCTTGCCTGAGGCCACACAGCTAAGAAGTGGGGGAGTCAAGCCTCTTGGATCAGAACCTATGATCGCAACTAGGTGCTGCCCACCCACCTCACTCCACTATGGATCCCTTTCTCCACAGAAGGGCAAAGCCCACTCTCTCCTAAGCATGTCCAAAACGTGTTGTTACCTCATAGGGTGTTAGCAGCGGCTTGGGGAAGGCTGTGCCCCAGTCGATGGAGAGACGCGGACACGCCACCTGCACCCATCTGGAAAGGGAAGCTAGGTCAGGCACAGGCCAGCACTCCCCCTCTGCAAAGCAGCATGCAGAACCACATGACAGTGTCCCAACATGCCCAGTGCTAATAAGACTGGTTAGCCCTGAAGACTGGCAGCCGCTGCTGCTGAGAATACTATGTTGTTGTTTGTTTTCTCCTGTTTCCTCCACTGACCAGCTTTCTGAGGGCAACCTAATTGTGACCATATCCCCAGGATCAAAGTTAGTGCCCAGTCCAGTGCAGATGCCAACTGCCACTCAAATTCATCTCAGAACAACTGCGATGCTGCCACTGCCACTGAGCCCCAAAGTCAGGCAGGTATGACCTGGCTAGCCCCTGCCAGGTGAGAGTCCTATAAACATTAAAATTTCAGGACCGTGAAAGCAATTCCCATTGATGCCAGCCTTTGGTATGTGCTGGGCAGGACCTGGCCTCTAAGCTTCTGTAGCCAGAGTCATAGCTAGGCAGGGGAGTGGGGGAAACTTACACATCCACCTCCGGAAGTAGGCTAAGCTTGCTGGGGAAGATCTCAGAGAGCAGCAGCCTCACAAAGGGAAGTTCCAAGGCCTGGAGCCGAGATTCCAGGTGCTGGTGGGAGAGGGAGGCAGAACCAGCAAAGCTCAATCCCTTGGCCTACTGATTTTCCCAGCTGGCTTCCGGTCAGTTCCCTCCTCCAGGGGCCATGCAGGATCTGACCTCCAGGATCTTCGGGCTGCCCTGGCGGCCCAAAGTGCCCAGAATAAGGCCCCAGGATTTAGCTGAGCGGGCGGTGGCTATGGCTTCCTGGCGGGCGGCTTGCATTCGCTGGTGGTCATAGTGCTCTCTGGACAGGACTTTGCTGTATGGGTCATACCTGGAAAAGTCATGAGTC